TTTTTGAGACAGAATCTCACTATGTTGCCCTTGGCAGAGTGCCGTGGTGTCACAGCTCACAGCAACCTCAAACTTTTGGGCTTAAGCTATTCTCTTGCCTCAGCCTCCCAAGTAGCTGGGACTACAGGTGCCTGCCACAATGCCCAGCTATTTTGTTGTACTTGTTTAGTTGGCCCGGACCAGATTTGAACTTGCCACCCTTGGTGTATGTCGCTGGTGCCGTTAACCACTGTGCTATCAGCACCGAGCCAAGAAAAGTCTCTTAATAGCACAGTGGAAATGATGGTTCAGCACAGATCCATTTATATCACAGCCTCCCCAAATAGATACACTTGTGCCTTTGAATACACAAACTCTTACATTAAACATTATTCCAAGCTACAGATAATGAGGACTTGACTGACTACCTCATTTTCCTCCTGTCTATAAATCTTAATCATCTTTCAGTGTCATCAAAGCTACCTACTGGCAGCAGCACACACAGTAGTAGGACACCTGAATGCAAAACTTCCCAACACCCTCACTCGCTAGCACTAGTTACTGGAGTCAGAAAAGGCTTCTCTAATTCCACATCATCTCCACTCACTAGCTCCACTGGGTCTTTCCCTTCTCCATCTTTAAATGAGTTCATAACAAGCTTGATTCCTAGATCTGGGGCCAGGTACTACGAAATTTAAGTTACATTGCCTACAATTTACACCAACAGAAAAAAATAATTTTTGTATAATTTTTTGTATATTTTTTCTAGGAATTGAGATTCCCTAGCAAAAAGGGACAACCATATTCAGAACAAGGATATGACCTTATACAGACCAAATTACACCAAATTCAAAGGAGTATCTCTTTCATTATAACAGAAGAGACTTGTATGTCTGTCTGTCTGTCTCTCTCTACATATGCATGTGTATATATATATACACACACACATTGTGTTTCCCCGAAAATAAGATACTGTCTCATATTTATTTTTTCTCAAGAAGACACACTAGGGCTTATTTTCAGGGAATGTCTTATTTTTATTAAGTATAATACAACAATCTCCATTTATTTAAATATAGTTAAGTCATCTTCTTATGGAACCTGACAGGGGAAGCTGACCTTGTTGGTGGGGCTGGCACTAGTGATGTGTGAACTCCTTTCCCCTAGCCGTTCACACGTGTGCAACAGGATGCCTGTGACCACGGTTACCACACATGCACCCGCACAACTGCTCAGAGAAAGGAGCTGTGGCAGATAAAAAGTATTCCAGTCTTCCTTACTGCTCTGCGCCAAAATGAATGGCGTGGCTATGCAGATACACTGATAGCCACGTCCATCACTAGCCCTTATTATCTGGGTAGGGCTTATATTTAACAAATGCATAGAAATCTTGCTAGAGCTTATCTTTTGGGTAGGTCTTATTTTCAGGGAAACCCAGTATATATACTTTTAAATATGTATGTACATATAAAATAAAAATTTAAAAAATTATATTTCAACAAAACACAGTTTATAAACAGAAAATATGATGAACATTTTTTAACGTGTATAATGCTTTATTGTTTTGGAAACATCTTTATCTATATCAAATAATTTCATTTTTTATTGTACCACTCACAGCTAACCCTTCCAAATTTTCTTTCCTCAAAATGAATTTTACAAAAATAGTGATGAAATTTCCTCCATTAGAAAAGTAACAGAAATAGTATAAATATATTACAGGAAATTTAGAAAACAAACAAAACATACACAAAAAACACACAGTTCCTCCATCTGTAGACAATTGTAATATTTGTTTTATATAGTGACCCTTTATATGTATATTTATACAATTAAAAATTTTTTTCATGACATGAATATGCCTTCAAAATATTTATACACTTTTGTATCTTTTATTTTTCACTCAGCATTCTAAGTACTAGCTCATAAGCAATATGTAAATGGCTGCATGTAATTCCAGAAGTACCATAATATATTTTCATGTTTTTGAACATCTACATTGCTTCTAATTCTTCACTTTTTATAAAATGTAAAAAACCTCTACGCATCATACTTGTTAAATGTCTTCTTGTTATCCTCTAATTATAAAAATTAATACATAATACTTTTAAAGCATTTTTGATAACATATTTGTACATATTTATGGTATACATGCAATATTTATATATACATACAATGTGTAATGATCAAATCAGGGTCACTGGCGTATCCATCACTTCAAATATTTATCATTTCTTTGTGTTAAGACTATTCCAAATCTCCTCTATTTTGAAATGTACAATAAATTATTGATAACTAGTCACACTTCACTGTGCTACTGAACACTAGAACTTATTTTTCTATCTTAACTGTATTTTTGTACCCATTAGCCAACTCTCTCTGCTCCACCCCAACCTCTACCTTTCCCAGAATCTGATAACCACCAAAACATTATTACAGAATTCTTATAAGAATCCAAATACAGAAATGTGTAGAAAAACTGAAAATTTTCCTATAGTCCCACCCCCTAGTAATAATAACTATTAATTAAAACCGTTAAGTTTTGCACTTTCCAAATACAGGCAGTCCCCAAGTTACAAACATCTGACATACAACTCACACTTACAAATAGAGGCTATTACAGGTAACAGTAAATGTACCTGTTCCAACTTACATACAAATTCAACTTGAGAACCAACAAAACCTATCTTGTTCATAACCCAGAGACTGCTTAAACAAACTTACATATTTTTAACATAAAAATGGATAACATACTTAATATTATGAATTATGCTTTTTTCCACTGGATTATATATCATATCTTTTTCAGTTTCACAGTACTCCAGTGTGTCACTATATTATACATAATTTATTTAATCTCCTATTGGTGAGCATTTATATAGCCTCCTCTCTTTTAAAAACATATTAATGCCAAACGCAAGATTCTTAAACTTAAATTGTTGAATGTTTACTTATGTATTTCTACGGGATAAATTTTGAGATGTGGAACTGCTGAATTAAAAGGTATCCAAATGTAAAACCGAAAGCCTAAGCCAAAATACCCTCCTAAAGGTTGTGTCAATTTATGGGATTATCAATATTTACTTGACCTTTTAAATATAAAGTTTAAGTATTGATAATTAAATAAATTTTAATGTTTTTTAGGTTTCACCAAACTTCCCTGAACACTATGCTTGGCTGTGTCCAAAGACAGGTTTAATTTACTTTCTGGACAAAGACTACGAATTATACCCTAGTCCAGTAGCTATGTGAGGCTACTAAGCATTTGAAATATGGCTAGTCTAAATTGAGATGTGCTGGAATTGTAAGATACATACCAGATTTTGTAGGCCTAAAACAAGAACAGAATGTAATAGATGTTATTAATAATTTTTAAAATAATAAAACTACTGACACAACATTTTTGATAAGGTTAAATGAAATACAGTAGAATCTCCATAGTTAACCATCTCCCGACATTGGCTACCCACTTTTCTTAGACCAGACATGTACCACACTCACTCAATGGAAGTTCCTTATGTTGACCAGTTTGTTACAGTCCCTTGGTAGTCAATTTACAGATTTTACTGTATATTATTAAAATTAAGTTCACCTGTTTCTTTTTACTTTTTAATGTGGCTACTAGAAAATTTAAAATTATATACATTATACATATTTTTATAAGATGGCACTGCTCTCTAGTATATCTTTACACTTTAGTATGTTAAGTAGCTATTAACTACATGGTGAAAGACAGGCTTTAACAAGTAATCAGGGCTCAGTGCCTGTAGCACAGTGGTTATGGCACCAGACACATACACCAAGGGTGGTGGGTTTGAACCCAACCTGGGCCAGCTAAGCAACTGCAACAACAAAAAAACAAAAATAGCCAGGTGTTGTGGTGGGAGCCTGAAGTCCCAGCTACTCTGGAGGCTGAGGCAAGGGAATTGCTTAAGCCCAAGACTTCGAGGTTGCTGTGAGCTGTGATACCATTGCACTCTACAGAGGGCAACATGAGACTCTGTCTCAAAAAAAAAAAAAAAAAGAAATTAATCAGACTGAAGACAATTTAGTGATATGTATTTAATGTAATGCATTCATCTAATCTCCATGCTGGTGAAAATGGGTACATGTTTTAGTATTAAAACACCTTTTACTGA